CCTAAATAAATAAATAATAAACCACAGTAAACAGACACAAACATCTGATGAAATCATAAGAAGTCAAAGGAGGTTACTGTATGTTGAGCATCCCTAATGTAAATGTAATGTAATGCACATGTGCCTACACACAAACACACACACACATAAAAGCAGGAATCTTAGTACACAGCAGTAATCCTAGCACTAGGGGAGGCTGAAGCAGAAAGACCAAGGAAGAATTTAAGGCTAACCTGGGCAAAATTTGAGGCTGGTTAGGCAAACAGCAAGACAGAGTGGATGGGGGGGAGATCTAATGAAACTGAAAAAGTTTCAGATATTGGAGCATTTTCAAATTTTGGATTTGGAATTAAGGATACTAAAATGTTTTTTTTAAAGTTTACCCAAATATAACAACAACAACAAAAAAGTCAAAATCTGGTCCTAAGTAATTTGATTAAAGGACGTTACTTGGGTGCTAGTGGCTACTCAAGAGGCTGAGAATTGAGGCTCACAGTTCAAAGCCAGTGAGAGAAGAAAAGTCGTTAAGACTTTAACCTCCAATTAACTTCCAAAAACAGCTACAAGTGAAGTTGTGGCTCAAATGCTAGAACACTAGCACTGAGCAAAAGAAGCTCACGGAGAAAGCCCAGACTGAGTTCATGTCCCCGTACTGGCACACACACACACAAAAGGATAACAGGGAAAAAGAAAAAAGGATAACAGGGACTACAATGTGCACACAGAAAGCTATCAATGGTCGGTAGAGTGCTCACCTTGAGCTGAAGAGCGCACAGACAGCGTCCAAGCCGAGTTCAAGCCCCAGGACCAACCAAAAAAAAAGAAAAGAAAAAAAAAAAAAAACAGAAAGAAAGCTATCAATGGCCTGGCAGTGCTCTGTTTAGTGATCTTGGTCACAAAGATATTTGTGAAAATGTTAGACTGTACATTTATGCTTATGCATTATTGCTGTTTGATATTCCACAATTTTAAAAATTAGAAAAAGGGATACTGGAAAGAATGCAAAAATTGTAAGATATGCTGAAGTAGTGATATTGGGAGCAACTTGTCTGATTTCTTTTTCCCTCAAGTCTCTTCTATGTACATGCATTGCTCTTGTTTGAGATAGGGTCTAATATTGCAGCCCAGCCTAACCTTGAACTTGGTGCAATCCTCTTGCCTCTGCCCTTCCAAATGAAAGGTCTATACCACCATGCCCAGCATGGTTTATTATTCTTTAATTTAGAAAAGAACATTTATCTTCTTTAACTCATACTTCAATGAAGCCTCCCTTTACTTGTTCAATATCATTACATCAGCCCACTTCAATACATTTTTCCTATGTCCTCCTCTACTTTTTCTAGTGGTCTCTTTACTATGTTTTATTAATTACCATCACTTTCCCTATAGCAAGAGCCCAAAGTTTTTGTTGTTTTTTTTTCTTTTTTGTCCTGGTACTGGAGCTTGAACTCAGTGTCTGTGTGCTGTCCTTTAGCTTTTTCTACTCAAGGCTATCACTCTACCACTCGAGCCACAGCTCTACTTCCAGGTATTTGATGGTTTATGAAGATAAAGAGTCTTACAAACTTTCCTGACTGGGCTTAGCTTCTAACCACAATTCTCAGATCTGAGCCTCCTTAACAGCTACAATTATAGGCATGAGTCACCAGCACCCAACTTAGAGCTCAGTTTTTTTGGAGAACCTATCTCTTGCTCCTTCATCAGCAATTATAAGTTACTGTCTTTTAGATTCTCCCTTTATCTCACCAGGACTGAATTTTTTTTGGAGGGGTGGTCAGTCATGGGGCTTGAAATCTGGGCCTGGCCGCTGTCCTAGAGCTCTTCAGCGCAAGGTGAGTACTCTATCACTTGAGCCACAGCACCACTTCCAATTTTCTGGTGTTTAATTGGAGATAAGAGTCTCACTGACTTTCCTGCCTGGGCTGACTTTGAACCGCCATACTGAGATCTCTGCCTCCAGAGTAGCTAGGATTACAGGTGTGAGCCACAGACCCCCAACTACCAGGACTGCTTTCTAAAGGTTCTATACTTCTACAGGGATGGGAAGTCTATTTTCTGCCAAGGACCATTTAGATATAAAGAACATCATTAAGGGTCATACACAATTATCAAGACAGGCAGACTTGGGGCTAGGAAGGTGGCTCAGTGGTAGAGCGCTTGCCTTGCATGGACGAGGCCCTGGGTTCAATTCCTCAGCACCAAATAAGCAAAAGGAAAAAAGCCGGAAGTGGCACTGTGGCTCAAGTGGTAGAGCGCTAGCCTTGAGCTGAAGAGCTGAGGGACAATGCCCAGATCTAGAGTTCAGGCCCCACGACCAGACCTAAAAAAAAAAAAAGACAGGCAGACAGGCTTAGGGATAGGCCAAGGGCAGCTAAGAAGTGTCTCTCTTGTCACATATTGCACAATTTCTGTAATTCAACCTTTGACAAACTATAAAGGTTGTAGAACTTTCATAAGAATATACATTTAGCTGGACGCCAGTGGCTCACGCCTGTAATCCTAGCTACTCAGGAGGCTGAGATCTGAGGATCATGGTTCAAAGCCAGCCTCAGCCGGAAAGTCCATGAGATTCTTATCTCCAATAAACCACCAGAAAACCAGAAGTGGTGCTGTGGCTCAAGTGGTAGAGCACTCGCCTTGAACTGAAGAGCTCAGGGATAGCACTCAGGCCCAAAGTTCAAGCCCGTAACAACAAAAAAAAAAGTCTCAAGGTAAGGTGAGGGGTGGGAGTGGGGTGGCAGGGAAGGAACAACTGTCCGTCTCAGCCTGTATTTCACTTACCTGAAAAGAGATCTCTGTTCACACCTCCCTTCCCAAGCCAGGGCTCTTTCCCTTGCTCCAATAAGGAAACCACATCTGGCTTAGAAATGCAGAGACCTGCTTACAAGAAATGAAAAAGAGTTCAAAATCAGTCTTTAAATCCTAAGAAAGGCTATTAAAATAAATGACAAGTAGAAGTACGAAAAATCCCCAAAGATTAATTCCCCATCTTTTAAAAATAAGATTAAGGGTTGGGAAGGTGGCTCAGCGGTAGAGCAGTTGCCTTGCATGCTCAAGGCCCTGGGTTCGATTTCTCAGCACCACATAAGCAAAAAGAAAAAAGCCGGAAGTGGCGCTGTGGCTCAAGTGGTAGAGCACTAGCCTTGAGCTGAAGAGCTGAGGGACAGCGCCCAGGCCCAGAGTTCAGGCCCCACGACCGGACCCCAAAAAAAAAAATAATAAAAAAAATAAAAATAAAAATAAGATTAAGAGATTCATGGGTCCGGGAGAGTGGCTCAATGGTAGAGTGCTTGCCTTGCATGCAGGAGGCCCTGGGTTTGATTCCTCAGCACCACATAAACAGAAAAAGCTGGAAGTGGCACTGTGGCACAAGTGCTCGTCTTGAGCTAAAGAGCTGAGTGATAGTACCCAGGCCCAGAGTTCAAGCCCCACAACGGACAAAAAAAAAAAAAAAGAAAGAAAGAAAGAAATTCATATATCCTTTGTAAATGTTCAGCCAGATAATCAAGACTTAAACTGGTCACCAGTGCCTTCTGTCTGTAATACTGGCTACTGGGGAGGAGATTTGAAGACCTCAATTCAAAGCCCGCCTAAGCGCAGGAAAGTCCTTGAGGCTCTTAAGATTAAAAAACAAAAATGGGCTGGGAAGGTGGCTCAGTGGTAGAGTGCTAGCCTTGAGCTGAAGAGCTGAGGGACAGCACCCAGGCTCAGAGTTCAGGCCCCACAACCAACAACAAAACAACAACAACATATATATATATATATATATATATAGAGAGAGAGAGAGAGAGAGAGAGAGAGAGAGAGAGAATGTGTGCTAGCCATGAGCAAAAAAAAGCTCAGGAACAGCACACGGGCTCTGAGTTCAAAAGGCCCATACTAAGGCTCTAATTATGACTTGAAGGAGATGAGGAATACTTACCCAGTGAAACCAGATGGCCATAATTTTCCAGCATCACACATCTGTACAAGTCTCTCTGAGCAGGCTGAAGCCATTTCCACTCCTCCTGGGAGAAATCTATGGCCACATCTCTGAATGTCACTGAACCCTGAAATAACACACAGGCATCTGTACAACCAGTCCCCATGCCTCACAATGCTTGATTAAAGAATGACTAGAGCCTCACCATGGAAAGTAGACAGTGTGTCGATATGGGGGTAATAAGAGTTTCCAGAATTCTGAGTAATTCTGATACCCTGAAGATCCTAGGTTTTTTGTTTTGTTCTATTTCACAACAGAGGAGAAGTAGAAAAGAATATGGATTATTTGCCCAGAAATGACATGCAGTTGTTCACAACTTAGGACTATAGATGAGAACAACACAGACTTCCTGTTCTGGTTGGGAAAAGTCTTCTTTTTTTATTCTATATTATTTTGTTATTTATATTTTATTTCAAATAAGGAAAATAAATATCACAATAATAAATTTTAGCCAGGCGCTGGTGGCTCACACCTGTAATCCTAGCTACTCAGGAGGCTGAGATCTGAGGATCACAGTTCAAAGCCAGCTTGGGCAGGAAAGTCTGTGAGACTCTTATCTCCAATTAACCACCTGAAAACCAGAAATGACCAGAGAGTTTGACTTGAGTTGAAGAGCTCAGGGACAGCGCCTAGGCCCAGAGTTCAAGCCCATGACAGACAAAAAATAAATAAAATATCCAGAACTGGCACTGTGGCTCAAGTGGTAGAGTGCTAGCCTTGAGCTGAAGAGCTGAGAGACAGCACCCAGGCCCAGAGTTCAAGCCCCCATGACCTACAAAAACCAAACCAAACCAAACAAACAAACAACAACAAAAAATTATTAAACAATCTAAAAAATTATGCATATTTTATTAACTGCCTAGCACACCTATATAACTGGAAAAATTCTTAATAACTTACATTTTATGAATAGTAGAGACCACTCCTTTGTAGTTAGTAAACAGTGCAAATTGTGTTTAGTAAACATTGCAATCTTCCTTAATATGGGTCTATGGTTTGGCCAACATTTCTTTATGGTAATAACTGGCTGTATTAGGGTATCAGCAATGATACCCTAACACAATCTCCAACAAATCATAGTGACAATTTTAGAAATATCACAATAAAAAAGACGAGCAACAAACAATACATAAAGTGCACATGCTTCTCAAGAAACATAATGTTTCTCCAAATGGAACCTAAAGCTCTTTGCCTCAGGGTTACTGGAAATAATAAAACAAAATTCTACTTCACAACATGGTTTTGAACACTTCAATGAGCCACACAACCAACCAGGTGCCATGGCTCACACTTTTAATCCTAGCTACTCAACAGGCTGAGATCTGAGGATCAAGGTTCCTGGGAGGAATGTCTGTGAGACCCTTATTCCCAATTAACCAACAAAAGCTGGAGGGACAGTACTCACAAGGAGAGTTCAAGTCCCAGTACCAGCACCAAAAAACAGAAAGAAAGAAAGAAAAGAATAAACAGCAATGTAAAATGTCCCAACTAATAGCAAACCCCATAAGACGTGCCACAGTTATGGTTCACAGTCTTAAAAATTATAACAAAGGGAAATGGCGCTGTGGCTGAAGTGGTAGAATGCTCACCTTGAGCTGAAGAGTGCAGGGACAGTGCCCAGGCCCAGAGTTCAAGCCCCACAACCGACAAAAAAAAAAAAGCATAAAAACTGGGGCTGGGAAGGTGGCTCGGTGGTAGAGTGCTTGCCTTGCATGCATAAGGCCCTGGGATCGATTCCTCAGCACCACATAAGCAAAAAGAAAAAAGTGGAAGTGGCGCTGTGGCTCAAGTGGTAGAGCGCTAGCCTTGAGCTAAAGAGCTGAGGGACAGCGCCCAGGCCCAGAGTTCAGGCCCACGACCGGACCCCAAAAAAAAATTATAACAAAGGAAATGATTTCCTAAACACCTGCAGAAGTGAAAATTAGATTTTCCAGAAGAATTCAAATGGTAGGACAGAGAAAGGAAACTGGTCTCTGGGAAACACTAACAGTATTCCAACCAATATTTTGGGTTTTCTTGCTAAAGAAATTTATGTCATGTCTGAAAAATGAGTCCTGCGAGGTCAAAACTTTTGCCCGCAACAGTTGCATCCCCAGGCAGTCTGGGGCACGAGCTTGAAGAACCTGGAAAGCCCGTTAAAAACAAGCTTCTGGAGAGCCGCCCGGAGTCTGGGACGCGGGCGCCGCGGGCCCCGGGCCGCACGCACCCCTGGGAAGTTCTTCAGCGGTGCCGACACTGCGGGTGGGGCGCGAAGAGCGCTGCGTGGGAACAAGCAAGCCCGAAGCCCGGGAGCGAGGGGCCGGGCAGCAGCCGGGCCACGACCCTCGGGGAGGGGTCTCTGGGGAGCGCCTGGCCGGCCCCAGCTCCCGAAACCTGCACTTCCGAGAGGGAAAGGCACGCTTACCGGAGCCATGACTCGGTCCGGGGCAGGAGAAGACGTCAGGCGGCCTTGGCAGAGCGCCGCGGACCCGCCAGCGGGCCCGCGATTCGGCCACTCGCGGG